GTTGGGGGCAGCACTCGGTGTTGCAACACTTGGTGTTGCAACACTCTGGTGTTGCAACACTCGGGTGTTGCAGCACTCTGGTGTTGCAGCACTCTGGTGTTGCAGCACTCTGGTGTTGCAACACTGGTGTTGCAACACTCTGGATGTTGCAGCACTCTGGTGTTGCAGCACTCTGGTGTTGCAGCACTCTGGTGTTGCAGCCACTCTGGTGTTGCAGCACTCTGGTGTTGCAGCACTCCTGGTGTTGCAGCACTCTGGTGTTGCAACACTGGTGTTGCAACACTCTGGTGTTGCAGCACTCTGGTGTTGCAGCACTCTGGTGTTGCAACACTCTGGTGTTGCAGCACTCTGGTGTTGCAACACTGGTGTTTGCAACACTGGTGTTGCAACACTCTGGTGTTGCAGCACTCTGGTGTTGCAGCACTCTGGTGTTGCAACACTCTGGTGTTGCAGCACTCTGGTGTTGCAACACTGGTGTTGCAACACTGGTGTTGCAACACTCTGGTGTTGCAGCACTCTGGTGTTGCAGCACTCTGGTGTTGCAACACTGGTGTTGCAACACTGGTGTTGCAACACTCTGGTGTTGCAGCACTCTGGTGTTGCAGCACTCTGGTGTTGCAACACTCTGGTGTTGCAGCACTCTGGTGTTGCAACACTCTGGTGTTGCAACACTCTGGTGTTGCAACACTCTGGTGTTGCAACACTCTGGTGTTGCAGCACTCTGGTGTTGCAACACTCTGGTGTTGCAGCACTCTTGTGTTGCAACACTCTGGTGTTGCAGCACTCTGGTTGTTGCAACACTGGTTGTTGCTATTGTTGCTGCTGTTGTTGCTGCTGCTGTTTCTGCTGTAGTTGCAGTTGCTGCTGTTGTTGCTGCTGCTGTTGCTGGTGTTGTTGCTGCTGCTGTTGCTGGTGTTGTTGCAGTTGCTGTTGCTGCTGCTGTTGTTGTTGTTGCTGTTGTTGCTGCAGCTCTTGTTGTTGTTGCTGTTGCTGCTGCTGCTGTTGTTGTTGTTGTTGCTGTTGCTGCTGTTGTTGTTGCTGTTGCTGTTGCTGTTGCTGCTGCTGTTGCTTTTGCTGCTGCAGGCTGCAGCTGTTGCACACATGGTGCAGGTATTTCGTTGACAAAATACACTGAGCCATGACAGACCTCGATGCCACACCAGTTAAACATCAGCAGTGTTCAGTGCATTCATCCCGTGACTGGTGACACTGACTGGTGACTGTGACTGGTGACTGTGACTGGTGACCGTGACTGGTGACTGTGACTGGTGACCGTGACTGATGACTGTGACTGGTGACAGTGGTGACTGTGACTGGTGACTGTGACTGGTGACTGTGTCTGGTGACATGACTGGTGACTGACTGGTGACTGTGGTGACAGTGACTAGTAACTGAGAGCACTGACTGTTAGTTGGTCATCACTCGGCGATTCTCCTGTTGAACTGAGAGAACAACTGTCGACAAGATTCTTAAATCGTCAGGAGTGCGTCTCTCAGTGTATACATGACTGGAGTGCGTCTCTCAGTGTATACATGACTGGAGTGCGTCTCTCATGTATACATGACTGGAGTGCGTCTCTCAGTGTATACATGACTGGAGTGCGTCTCTCAGTGTATACATGACTGGAGTGCGTCTCTCAGTGTATACATGACTGGAGTGCGTCTCTCAGTGTATACATGACTGGAGTGCGTCTCTCAGTGTATACATGACTGGAGTGCATCTCTCAGTGTATACATGACTGGAGTGCGTCTCTCAGTGTATACATGACTGGAGTGCGTCTCTCAGTGTATACATGACTGGAGTGCGTCTCTCAGTGTATACATGACTAGAGTGAGTCTCTCAGTGTATACATGACTGGAGTGCGTCTCTCAGTGTATACATGACTGGAGTGCGTCTCTCAGTGTATACATGACTGGAGTGCGTCTCTCAGTGTATATATGACTAGAGTGCGTCTCTCAGTGTATACATGACTGGAGTGCGTCTCTCAGTGTATACATGACTGGAGTGCGTCTCTCAGTGTATACATGACTAGAGTGCGTCTCTCAGTGTA